ACTACTTCCAGGTTACCGGTGCATGATCCTTGATGACTTGTTACAACCTGTGTTTGTTGGTCAGGAGGGTGAACTATTCGTGGGAGGTGTGGGCGTCTTTGCCGGTTATCTTGGGCGCAACGAGTTGACGGAGAAAGCACTTGTTGACATTGGCGGTGAACTGTTCTATCGAACAGGGGATCTTGTGTATTTCGACAGTCATGACCTACTGCACTACGTAGGGAGAAAAGATCATCAAGTGAAATTACATGGACAGCGGATCGAACTCAGTGAAATCGAACAATGTTTACTTGAGGCATCATCAGATGTTTCTCGCTGCGTCGTTGTCAAATGGGATGATGACCACTTGGTTGCCTATGTTCAAAGCAATAATATCAATGAGGATCAATTGCGCAAGTATTGTCAGTCTCATCTGGCACCATTCATGGTTCCATCGATGTTTATCGTGCTCGAACAACTACCATTGAATCCGAATGGCAAATTGGATAGAAAGTGTCTTCCAACACCAAATTTTTCGGCACTCTGCTCATCTAGTTCTTCGACAGAAAACAAGAAACAATACACTGAACCAAACAACGAACTCGAAACGTGCATTCATTCTCTTTGGTGCGAAGTTTTTCAATGCAATCGAATTTCGACCACTGACAGTATTTTCACTATTGGCGGTCACTCACTCATTCTTATTCAACTTTATCATCGCTACAAATCGATGTTCGAATTTGATGTCCATGCTTTCGGCGTTGCACAAATATTTCAACATCCGACGATTGTGGATCATGCTCGTTTTATCGGACAATCATTGCATACTAAACAATGTCATGAAAAACTTTGGCTTTCACTAAAGAAAATTGAAGGTAAAAGTGTGTGAAATTTTCCCTCATCTTTCTTCTGCTTTTTCTAGACCAAGCATCTTTTGCACAAGAGCGAATCTTTCTGGATGAGCAAATTCGTTTCTCATCAAATAGCAACAATATGTACAATATTCCATTGGTATATCGTATTTCATCCGGCAGCAAACCTGTGTCAATTTCACGGTTGCACCGAGCACTTCAAGCAGTTGTTCTGAAGCATATCATTTTACGCACGGCGCTTCTGCTTGATAGGAACGGAATAGTCACGCAATCTGTTGCTCAGATCGATTGCTCCGATGGAAATCATCAACAATCCTTCGGCTTTGCAGTAGTTAACACTCACGATGCCGAAAGCAATATCTACGAGACGATTCATCGTTCTGATCTTTTCGATTTGAGAAAAGGTCGAGTCCTTCATTGTCATATTGTTCGTCGGTACCCTTCCTCCTTCCACAATGAAGATCTACTCATAGACGATGACATCATCTTATTCAACATTCATCACTCAGCTTTTGATGGAACATCAACCTGGATTTTCCTTCGTGATCTTTCACTTGCATATTATCTTGATGAACCATTGCCAATTGATAACAACATGTTACAATATATTGACTATGCAGCACATGAGCGCGAATTGGACATGACAGCATCCCGTGACTTTTGGCATGCACAACTTGATGGATACGATTTCGAGAGTCGCTTGTCATTCCCAGTCGATCGACATCGCTTGTCGGACAATGAACGATCGGGTCGAGCTTCGATTGCAGAAGTTTCATTCAGCGAGAATTTGTCACGTTCATTTCTTGCCTATGCCTCTTCACATAATGTGACACTCTTCCAACTTGGTCTTGCTGTCTTCTATATCTTTCTCTTTAAAGTGAGCAATGGTCAACATGATTTGTGCATCGCTGGTGTCAACGCCAATCGATATCGAGCCGAACTACGAGAAATGATAGGGATGTTTGTAGCTACACTTCCATATCGCATCCAATTGGATCCCACTTCTTCATTTGAAAAACTCGTTGAACAAGTTCGAGACTTGTGCTTATCGGTTCTCGACCATTCACATTATCCACTTCAACAGATCATCGGTAGTCACCATTCACCAGCCTTTCTAGAGATCATGTTTGATTTCATCACTGTCGAATCGAAGATTGAACATATTGACCTTGATGGAGCAGCACTTGAGCCAGTGTCATTAGGAAAAGTGGACTTTGTGGCCAAGTTTGACATGAGGCTCACTGTTGTTCACAAGTTGTCGGCAGGAATGTCGTGTTCTTTGATGTGTTCGCAGGATCTGTTCCATGAAGCGACGGCGAAGACACTGGCCTACCGATTTCGACACATGCTTGAACAACTATTTGTCGAACAAAACTTTGATCTTGTCATGCATCCGATCAATGATCTATCGCTTTGGCTTCCAAGTGAAATTAACGAAATTCAATTGACCACATTCAAGCGACTCTTCCACTTGCATGAAGGTATGAAACTGAATATATTCGAATGAAAACTACTATATAGACATTTATTGATGCATTTAGGTCGAGCATCATTTGCCCAAGAGCGGATATGGCTCGATGAACGCGTACGATTTGATCCTGACAAGCCTCAAGTCGCCATCTACAATATGCCTTTTCTCTACTACATCGAGTCGGGCACAATATCGATTGCGAGGTTGCGACATGCTTTGCAACTAGTTGTCATGAAGCATCAGGCATTACGCACTGCACTCTTCTTCAATTCCGACAAGAAACAACTAATGCAACGCATTGTTGAACCAACAGAAAATGAAGAACTCTTTTCATTCAGCGACAGTGTACTCGGGCCAGACGATGAATTTTTGTTGAAGATCATGTATGATGAACGAGGCAACCCGTTTCACTTTGATCTTGCCAGTGGTCGTGTCTGCCGGTTACATGTTGTTCATCGAAATTCGAATCACAACTCTCTGGAAAGAGGCGACGCAATTATCTTCAATTTTCACCATGCTCTTTTCGACTTTCCTTCGATGCTCGTATTTCAGCGTGACCTCGACCGCGCTTATACGGCAGGTCAACTAGAGTTGGGTGACGAGAGTGAACTGCGCTATCTTGACTGTAAATTACCCCACTTTTTCATTCTTTCACTGACTTTATTTCTGTGTATTTAGATTCGATCGCGGAACGAGAAATGTCTATGTCAATGGCCAATGCCTTTTGGCTTGAAACTCTACGTGACTATGCAATCGATCGACCATTATCATTACCATTCGATCGGTATCGTATCTCTGACGAACAACGAACAGGTCGTGGGATATCGGTCTCATTCGATTTTGGTCCAGATCTATCAAGTGCTTTTCTCGCATACGCTATGATGAGCAACACAACACCTGAACAATTGTCACTCGCCTGCTACTATGCTTTCTTGTTCAAATTGACGAATGGAGAACAAGATCTTTGTGTTGGAATGAACATTCACGAAAGATACAAAGATGAATTGCATCCAATTATCGGCATGTTTGTCAATGCGATCCCGTTGCGTCTTTCACATTTAGATCCATACACCTCTTTCTCTCGCCTTGTTGAACAAGTGCGTGAGATGGCAACACGTGCTGTAGAGATGTCATACTTTCCGCTGCAACGCATTCTTGCTCAGCATCCGAACAGTGTGACAACACCCGCTTTTCTGGACACATCGTTCGAATATACATCGACAGAGAATAATATTGATCGAAGTCAAGCGTCAATTGGAGAAGTATTATTGGCTATCGTTCCATATTCTGTACAAGTTGGAATCGACGAGATCGTGAGCAAATTTGACTTTTCTCTCAGATTTCGATATGACAATGCAACTGAGCAACTTTCCTGCCAAATCGATGCTTCGCTGGATCTATTCGATAAAAAGACCATACAAACAATAGGTAGACGCTTTTACATCATGCTCCAGCAACTATTCTTACTCGATAGTTTCGATATTGCATGCCAACCTATCTATGAATTATCATTGTTGTTGCCCGATGAAGTGCAACATATTGAATCGATCAACAATATCAGTATCAAAATGGATTTCGAAGTTTTGGAGTGTCTGAAATATGAATTTGTCCGACAAGCATTCACACATCCGCAAAAGATCTCTATTTGTTTGGATGAACAATCGCTAAGCTATGCAGAGCTACATGCCAAAGTCCACGAATTGGTTCCCTACCTTGGCAAGCGACAGCATTCAAGTGAAATCATTTGTCAATGTGTCGAGCGCAGTATCGAAATGATCATTGGTCAATTGGCGATTGTCATAGTGGGTGCCTGCTATTGTGCATTGTCGCCTGACGATCCTCCCGCACGTCTGGCCGCTCTCGTGACGCAAACAAGACCCGACATTGTCCTTGTTCATCCGGCTACGGCACATCTTTTTACTACTACTGATCAACATGTCATCAACTTGCACAATTGTCTTGTTCATGATACCAACAGTACCATTGTAGATACTGATGACAACGCACTTGAGTGTTCGGTATCCATGGATAACTTAGCCTAGTAAGATATTCTTCCTTTATATTCCTTTTTCCTATAGTTTCTCCTTCTTTTAGTATCATCTTCACGAGTGGCTCGACAGGAGAACCGAAAGCTGTAAGTATAGATCTTCCTTCATGACACATGAGACAGCCTATCATTCAGTGAACAAGCGCAATAACTTTCAGCTTCATCTACTTTCTAGGTTCCAATTACTCATCGCAATCTTTCTGCATGCATCTCTTCGTTCAAACATATAGAAATTTTCACACATCAAGACAACGTCATTCAAATGGCACAATGCTCTTTTGATGCTCATATCCTAGAATGTTTGGGTACGATGATGTTGGGGGCTACGCTCATTCTTCTGCGTTCTCATGGCAATATGGATTTCGAATATTTGTCAACTACTATAGAGCAACATCAAGTTACTTTCTTCAGCGTTGTTCCATCATTCATGAGTGCCTTACTTGATCATCTGATGGACAACAATCGCTGGTTGCGTTTATCCAGTGTTCGATCATTCGGCTTTCTCGGTAGATTCACTCTTTCATATATATTCAACGATTGAATCATTTATTTCTTAGGCGAGGCGATTATCGGCTCAAATGTGGCTATTATGGCCAAACTTCTAGATCATAATAAAGTCAAATTCTATAACATGTATGGCCCAGCAGAGTGTACACTCGGCTCTATCTATCATCGTGTTAGCAGTACAGACATTGAAAGTGGTTTGATTCCCATCGGTGTTCCGTTTCCTGGTATGCAGGCACGAATTCTTGATCAATACTATCAACCAGTTCTTGTTGGCCAAGTGGGCGAATTATTTCTGGATGGTGTGCAACGTTTTCCAGGCTACTATGAACGACCTGATCTCACTGAACGAGCTCATTATGGATCGTTCTATCGTACAGGTGATCTTGTCCGTCAAGATCCGACTACTGGTCAACTATACTATTTGGGCCGTCAAGACTTTCAAATCAAACTTCGTGGACAACGCATCGAATTGGGTGAAATTGAACGGTGTCTTCTGAAGCTTGCCTCCAGTTGTGTTGTCATCAAATTCGACGAGCATCTTGTTGCTTATGTACAAGGAAAAAATATTGATCTCGATGAGCTACGTGGTCATTGTAGATTACATCTACCTCAATTCATGATTCCATCGATTTTCATTTCCATGCAGCGTTTTCCATTGAACAAAAATGGAAAACTCGATCAAAGAGCATTGCCTAAGCCCACGAACTTGCCATCACTATCAAACACCATTGACATCGAATTGAGCACCGAGATGGAATTAACTGTGCATAAACTTTGGTGCCAAGTGCTTCAATGTGATGTTCCTAAGTCCACAACAAGTAATTTCTTCTCGATGGGTGGTCATTCAATGCTTTTAATGCAACTTTATCATCAATACCAAACCTTGCCCAACTTCAACAGTAGAACAAACCCGATTACTTTATTTTTTCGACAACCAACAATCGGTGAACATGCTATGCTCTTGCAACACTCGGTGAAAGAAGTCAATGATGATAAATTCAAAGAATGGCAATCAACGTCCTTGACAGAAGGTAAATTAAGTTACACATGAATATATAATCGTAGTTTTTTATCGCTCTTCTATCCGTTTAGCTCCAGCATCATTTGCTCAAGAGCGCATTTATCTCGACCAACACATCCGATTTAGTAGTGGAAAACGCCATGGATATTCCGTCGCTCCCTACAATGAATTGACTGTGTTGAAGGTTACCACAGGTTCAGTATCAATGCAACGTCTTCGACAGGCAATCCAATGGGTTTTGATGAAACATCCAACATTGCGAACTTCTCTCGATTTTGCCAATGAGAAATCAATGCTCTTACAGCGAATCACACAAATACACCATACATTCGATTTTGCACCTGGGCAAACATTTGAGAATGATGACCATTTCCATGATCTTCTTCGTCAAACAAGCGAAAATCCGAGTCTCTTCGATTTAACAAGTGGACATGTCTTTCATTGTCAACTTTTTCAACAGCGACTTCCAAATACCAGTGCAAACAACGAATTTCTCAATGCACATGACGTCATGGTCGTCGCTTTTCATCATGCCGCATTCGATCGAAGCTCACGTCCAATCTTCTTACGTGATTTAAGTATTGCCTACAATAATGACACTCCATTATCAATCGATGACAATGCTTTCCAATACATTGATTACTCAGTTCACGAACGTCAACTAGACATGACAGCATCCCGTGACTTTTGGCATGCACAACTTGATGGATACGATTTCGAGAGTTGCTTGTCATTCCCAGTCGATCGACATCGCTTGTCGGACAATGAACGATCGGGTCGAGCTTCGATTGCAGAAGTTTCATTCAGCGAGAATTTGTCACGTTCATTTCTTGCCTATGCCTCTTCACACAATGTGACACTCTTCCAACTTGGTCTTGCTGCCTTCTATACTTTTCTCTTCAAAGTGAGCAATGGTCAACATGATTTGTGTATCGCTGGTGTCAGCGCCAATCGATATCGAGCCGAACTACGAGAAATGATAGGGATGTTTGTAGCTACACTTCCATATCGCATCCAATTGGATCCCACTTCTTCATTTGAAAAACTCGTTGAACAAGTTCGAGACTTGTGCTTATCGGTTCTCGACCATTCACATTATCCACTTCAACAGATCATCGGTAGTCACCATTCACCAGCCTTTCTAGAGATCATGTTTGATTTCATCACTATCGAATCGAAGATTGAACATATTGATCTTGATGGGGCAGCACTTGAGCCAGTGTCATTAGAAAAGGCGGACTTTGTGGCAAAGTTTGATATCAATCTCACATTTGTTCACAATCCATCTGGAGGAATATCTTTTTCTCTCATCTGTTCACAAGATCTTTTCGATGAGATCACAGTGAAGTCACTAGCCGACCGATTTTCATATCTTTTGCATCAATTGTTCGAATCGAATGTAACACTAACAAAGGAACATTCGCTGTATCAACTCTCTCTTATTCTTCCCGAAGAAGAAATACTAATTCACACATTAAAGAACAATGGCATCAATCGATCGCAAGCGATAGTTGACACTATTCCACAATCATTTAGCCAAGAAGCATTTCGTTATTCACAAAAAGTAGCCGTGGAACTCGATGAACAAGCACTGACGTACAGCGAACTCCTTTTCTATGTACAAAAATTGGCTCTTCTTCTTGTCGATGTGCATGGTGTTAAACCGGGTGATATTGTTTGTCAATGTGTAGAGCGAAGTTTGTCAATGGTGAGAATATTGAGAATAAGATTGCTTGATCAGAAGACTTTCTTCTCATTCTTTAGGTGATCGGAATCATGTCAATTCAAATGGCTGGTGCTGCATATTGTCCTCTATCACCACGAGATCCATCTCAACGTCTACATACTCTGTTAAAAGAAACTCAGAGTCGTCTCATTCTCGTTCATCAATTGACTCGAGATAAATTCCATTCCGATCTTCTCACG